GGTGGGCATACCGAATAGACAGGCAATTTGTGGACCACCAGATCGGTACTCAAACCCGGCATGTCATCATATGACCATGCGAAAACATCTTTGTATTCAAGCAGCAATTTAATTATCTCCTCCCTGAGCGGGGCTTCCAAATGGACACTTATTTTTGTTTCCCGAACATTCTCCCGATCCCCTAAATTGATTGTCTCTGTGTCATTCAAGTTAGGTTTGGGTTTTTCCTCAAATTGATTTAACTCTTTACTGATTTCTTCCAAAGCTTCCACATTATCGTATTCCCATCCATCCTCACACTCAATTTCCTGTATTACTATTTCACATTGATTATCAAGACTAGGCCGGCGACTCCTTATGCATGACACATCATTGAAATCAGCATAAAAGGGACTGTACAAAAGAGAAAAGAAAAACGAAAATAAAGACTATCAGGAGAGAAGAAAAGAGGAAATGGCATTTCATTATAATTGTAAAATAACAAGGTTTAACTCATCCAAAATGGACGGAACATAGGAATCTGAATTACAACCCTGGAAATAATCCAGATTTAGTACTCAAAGAAAAATCAAAACTAACTACCACGACTCCTTTCGAATTGGAAGAGGAGTAGCTTTCCAGTTATTGAGCCTAGCCTGAGATCCCATGAACTGCACATCAAATTCACTCGGGCCTTCGCCGGGTTCCACCATATTCACTTCATCGAACACCTTTTCAAACCTTGCGAGCATCTCTTTGTCAGTTTCTATTACCACAGAATTTGGCATTGCTGTTGCTGGGCGTTGTTTAGTACCAGGCCGGACGAAGGAACGGGAAAGGTGGGGAATAGGTTTTGGAAGGGTCCACACTCTCTTTTTCATCTTTTTGGCTCTCCTTATGTCAGCTGAAGTGGGTTTGAAACCTAGCCCAAAAGTGTCTAGATTTCCGGGGAGAGACACCGGCTGTATGATCCCCTGCAGTGAAGCACCTAACCTCTTTCCGGGCAAGAATCCATTTCTTATCATCTCTGAGGCTACCATAACAGATGCGGCAGCTATCTTGGGCCCAGGAACACACTCCCCTTCCGGGATTTTATCAACTGGCATTGTGTCCATGACTTGGTACACCCACGGACCTTTATCATTTTCAACTTCCTCGAAGGATGTGATAGCGTTACAAGAATGATCCTCTCCGTGGACCACGATCTCTTGCCGATCCCATTCAAACTTGACCATTTGATGCAAAGTGGACGGTACTGCCTTTGCGGCATGAATCCAGGGCCGTCCCAATAAAAGATTGTAGGAAACACTGACATCGAGCACTTGAAACTCCATCGTGAATTCCACAGGTCCTATTGTTAGCTCCAACACAATATCTCCCACTGTGTCTTTCCCCCCGCCGTCAAATCCCCGTACACAGATGCTGTTTTTATGAATTCTTTCCCTGTCAACTTGCTACTTTTCTAGAGTGGAAAGAGGGCAAATGTTGGCACTAGACCCGTTATCAATTAACACCCGAGTCACCACGGAATCTTCACACCTCACTGTGAGGTACAAAGCTCTATTATGTTCAGTTCCTTCCAATGGTAACTCGTCATCAGAAAATGTCACCCTATTTACCTCAAAAATCTTATTCGCAATCTTCTCAAGATGATTCACAGTAAT